CCACATTACCGAGTTCTAACATCGGAGACTGAGGGCGGCGGCGACGAGCTTCACCGGCGGCCCTCTGAATCTCCATTTTTCTCGGTTGAATAAAAAAGCTTCAAAAAAGAAGAAGAAAAAATCACGAAAAAATATAATTGTTTTTTTGTATATTTTGATTTATTTTTGCAGATCTTATGATTCCTTGTTCGTCGTTCTCGTGGCGGTTTGTGAATTGTTGATGCGACGATCGCATGCCCGTTCTAGGGTGAAGAGTAGTAGTAGTAGTAAATCAGATATGGATCCGGTCAAGTTTCAGATCCGTTCCGGGAATCGAGCATCTTCTTCGTCTTTGTACACGCTCACGAAATCCAATTCGAAACACGCGAAATCGACGAGTCTCTTGTTAACCGTCTTTTCAATCGCCGTCGTGTTAGGTTTTCTCTTTGTTTGCTATTCGATTTTGTTCTCCGGCGGTAATCGGAAAGGATCGCTTCGTTATAGCGTCGTGATCGACGGTGGAAGTACAGGGACCCGAATCCATGTGTTTGGGTACCGGATAGAGTCGGGTAAACCCGTTTTTGAATTCAGAGGAGGGAATTACGCTAGCTTGAAGTTGCATTCGGGTTTATCGGCTTACTCTGATGATCCTGACGGAGCAAGCTTGTCGTTGACGGAGCTGGTTGAGTTTGCTAAAGGGAAGATTCCGAAAGGAATGTGGAAGGAGACTGAAGTAAGGTTAATGGCGACTGCAGGAATGAGATTGCTTGAATTATCTGTTCAAGAAAAGATTCTTCAAGTTACGAGAAGAGTTCTTAAATCTTCTGGGTTCATGTTTCGTGATGAATGGGCTTCTGTGATCTCTGGTGAGTTTTCACAATCAATTGTTCCTTTAGTTCAAGTAAATTTTCTAGCAAATGCCAATATGCAATTGTATAGTTAGCTCGATGAACAATCTACAAATGCATTTTGGTTAGAACCTTGGAGTTATATACAGTTTCTGTCATGATCTTGTTGTTAGTATTGTATCTATGGGGGGGATTGTTATTAGACCGGGGAGCTTCTATCGTACCTTGTACACACAACTAGAGCGATGAAGGGCGCTAATAATTTGATACTAAATTTGTAGGATCTGACGAAGGTGTATATGCTTGGGTTGTTGCAAACTTTGCTCTCGGTTCACTTGGTGGTGATCCTCTTAAAACAACTGGGATTGTTGAACTTGGCGGGGCTTCTGCGCAGGTGTGGTTTCTTTCCTCTCGAGTTTATTGTTGAGACTTACAATAGAGTTAAAAAGAGTGATTGTTTGGATTTTCATTTTTAGGTGACATTTGTGTCAAGTGAGCCAATGCCTCCTGAGTTCTCACGTACAATATCATTTGGAAATGTTTCATACAATCTCTACAGTCACAGCTTCCTTCATTTTGGACAGGTATTTTCTGTTGAGCAGTAAATGGTCTTTGGAGTATGTTTCACAATCTCACTGTAGTTAGATTATTCCCTTTTTCTAGTTTGTAAATAGAAACTTAATTCAATTGTCTCCTGAACTGTTGCTTTTAATTTTTTTGTTATTCTTTCTGAAATCTTTAGAAGAAAGGATTTTTATCTTTTGGCAATGTCCTCGAAGTTATTAACATTTGCTCCCTTGCAGAATGCTGCTCATGAAAAGTTATGGGGCTCACTTGTCTCAAAAGACCAGAATTCAGGTGAGCTTTTGATTATTTTACAAGTCTGGTTGATGCATCATCGCTGTACTGATTGAAGTTTTTTAAAGTTTCGAGTCTGTAGCAAAGTTCCGTTTCCTTCTCACTCATTCCGTGTTTCATTTCTTGAAGCAGTAGAATCTACACGGCAAGGAATATTTACAGACCCTTGTGCTCCAAAAGGGTACAACCTCGACACAAACACACAGAAGCAGCATTTATCTGGATTTTTGGCTGAAGAAAGCAGATTCTCAGCTTCTTTACAAGCTGGGGGTAATTACTCAGAGTGTCGATCCGCTGCACTAACAATCTTGCAGGAAGGAAATGGTAAAATATTATCGATAGATATTGCTGGATTCCCATCCATCGTGTCATTTTGTTTTTGTCTCTTATGGATACGTATTTCTACTTTTGACTGCAGAGAAATGCTCGTATCAGCATTGTTCTATTGGATCAACTTTCACGCCTAAGCTTCAAGGAAGATTTTTAGCTACAGAAAATTTCTTCTACACCTCTAAGGTACTTTGTTCTCTCATATCTGATTTCATACTCGTAATCTATATATAACTCACTTAGACCATCAAAGCAAAGCCCATGCTATATCTGGAGAATGTTATGAACATGGTCTTTTTTCTCATACTAGTTCTTCGGTTTGGGAGAAAAGTCGTGGCTGTCTCATATGATCTCAGCTGGAGAGAGATTCTGTGGAGAAGATTGGTCAAAGCTGAGGGTAAAAGACCCATCACTCGACGAAGAGGATCTTCTTCGGTATTGTTTCTCATCTGCATATATTGTGTCATTGCTTCACGATACTCTCGGCGTTCCTCTTGATGATGATGAAAGGTATGTTGGTAAATTCAAGAACCCAACCCAAAAACTTAGATCAATGACTTATACTTCACGCCAACATGGTCCAACCAAAAACCTTTTATTTTAATTTTTATGCAGAGTCAGGTTTGCGAATCAAGCAGGAGATAATATACCGCTCGATTGGGCATTAGGTGCATTCATCCTACAGACTGCAGCAGAGATCTCTCAACTCACTGGCGGCTCTAGTAATCTCCATTGGTTCTATGCTCTGTTCGGTAATGACTCAAACACGCTTCGCTATCTCATCGGGATACCGATCCTCATTACAGTTTTGGTATATTTGGTATCTAAGTGGAGAAAACCGCAGCTGAAAACCATTTACGACCTTGAGAAAGGTCGGTACATAGTCACCCGGATTAGATGATCTCGGTTTAAACTGGTTTCCACACCAGTTTGGTCTCTTTAAAAGCTTGTGGTTATGAAGTTTCTCGAGGGAGCAGCATCTGAGTGATTATAATTTATATATGTCAACGGCTTAGCAATTTCCATTTGGTGGGAATTATGGGGGTAGGAGAGTACATTGTATTGGGGGTATATCCACAATTTCCATGTTTTAGAAGGGTTCGCTTGTGTTTAGATTATTAACGTTTGTGTTGTCAACAAAAAAAAAAAATTAACTTCGATCATATAGTTTTGGAAAAATCAAATTATGTCTTTACTTCCGGAATCATTTATGTCTCCAATTGATTTTTTGAGAAATTTAAAAAAATGTCACTTTTTAAGTGTCATTTTACAAAAATGTCATATTTTTAAAATCTTTATAAAATGCCGTTTTTTGAAAATTATTTTTTGTTTATATTATTTATGTTTTAGTTAATTATGTTCTATTCATGTTTAGTTACGAGGGTTTATGGGGTTTAGGAGTCAAAACATTT